TTTTTAATGTGATTAATAAATGTGGCGCCATATTCCCTCCCCACGCCTGAACCCTCTCTCTCCTACTCCCTTCCCTCTTTGTTCTTTTTGAAAAATTTAAGAAACAGTAATGTAAACCTTGGTGTTTCAAACTGCACTTTGTTCTCATGTTCTGTAAAAGCTTTCAGAATTGCTGGTAGAAGTGAAAGTTTCAGCCTGGAATCCTGATGCACTCTGAAATCCAGAATACAAACAAATCTGTGTAAATTTTTTTCCTGCATTTTGTGATATATTTTGTTGAATAACCAATTTAAGCAGGAGCAGAAATATTTTGGAGGGAAGGATATGGCTCTAAGAGATAAATCCATAACATACAGTTTAACTTTTTTTCTCTGGAGAGTAGTCATTGGTGAATTACAAGATTAGTTAAGCAAGAAACTACCAACCATCCTAAATATAGCTCCCCTTTAAGGACTTCTCTATAAACCGTTATCATAAAGTCAGGTGAGTACACATGTCGAAATATACCATTAATGTAGTTTTTCTTATACTGATATTCTTCAGACCCTTTTTTTTTTTTTAAAGGAAATACAAAATGGTTAAAAAGAAAAGAAAAAACATTAGAAGCAATACAGAATTTCATAAAACAAAACGACAAGAATTCGACAATGGTTGTTGTATTACATAATGTTATCTTCAGCTTAATTGTTTAGATTACCAGATATGAACATGCAAATTTGCTTTAAAAGTTATAAGAAATTAAAAAGAAGAAAAAAAAGAAATTTAAGCCTTAACTACTCCTTTCAATAGACCAGCAAAAATCAGCAGTACAGTTATCCAAGCCCTTCTACATATATATATATATATATATATATATTTTCCCCCCCCTTCTTTCCCCCCCTTCCGTCCTTTGTCCTTTTCCTCATCCCTGGTTTTACTTCCCATTGAACAGATTCTTTCCCTTATGCAGTATCTGTCATACCTATCATATTTTATTTACCAGAGCCTTTTGTTATCGTAAAATACTTGCACCCATGTCCTGTTTCCTGAGTCTGAATCACAACCTCATCAATTTCAAACAGTGTAGTTAAAATTTACTTGTAGAAGAAGAAAACTACACAGACATCTGTCCGTTCTTTCAGGATCTGTGGGAATAGTCTTTCTCACAGGCTGATCCGTTTTGAATGGCTTGGGTTGACAGTAACATTACTCCTTAATTTAGCACCAAGGCCCTTCTGGCCTCTTATAAGCCAAAGAAAGTGAGTGGTAGGAGTCCTGTCGGGAACCTCACTTGGTCTTCTTTTTCCCAGAACTAGTAGAATTCAGCTCAAAGCTATGATTTGAATAAATCTTCACAGAGAATAGCTCTACTCAGGCATTGTGGGAGTTGGGTAAGGATTCTTGCCCCTTCCTCTCTCTCTACTGAGAATAAGATTTGAAATTAGGGCTGCTCAACTGCATCCCTGTCATATACACTCCTCATTTTGTGACACAATCTCACTAAGTTACCCAGACTGGGTGCCCTCAAACTTGCAGTCCTCTTGCCTCAGCCTCCTGAGTGGTTGCGGTTACAGGCATGCACTGCCATCCCAGTTAAGCGCAGACTCAGCCACAGAGTCTCTCGATAAGAGCCTGTGCCTCTGCCCCAGGAGGGTGCCCTGGCTTTATGTGTCCTACTAGGTAAATATGGGTCAGGCTTTAACTGGCTTTATTAGCTTTGATTTAAATTTTTAAAAATTAATTTGGTGTTTGAATTATCTTTGTTTACAAAGAACTTTTTCCAAAGTTAGCCCTGTTGTTGGCTTCATGCAGGCTGTAATTATGTTTTTTAAGGCACTAATTCTTTTAAATTTTTATTTATTTATTTGTTTGGTACAGGGTCTCACTATGCAGCTTTAACTCAAAAGTGGTCCTCCTGTCTCCACCTTCCCAGCACTGAGATTATAGGCGTGTACCACCACACCCAGTTTCAGGGCTGGCAGAGCAAGACCAGGGTTCTGGGGCCAGCACAGCATGTAGTACCAGGAATCAAACCTAGGTCCTTGTGCTTGCCAAACAGGCACTTAGACTGCTAGGCTATCCGCCCCCCCAGCCCTAAGGTGCTAATTCCTAAGAGCCATGTCTATAGTTATAGTATCTTCAGCTGTGGCTAGCATGTGGCACAGCTGTGATCTCAGCCACTTATGAGGCAGAGGTGGGAGAATCAGTTGCACGCACAAGTTCAAGACCAGCCTGAGCTGCACAGTGAGACAGCCTCAAAAAAAATTTTTTTGTCAACTATAACAGCCAACTTTTACTTTGTTTAAAAAATATTTTTATCGCTTTTTGTTTTATTCAGAAGTTTAAAGAAGTAAGTAAGGGAAAAGATAAGTGGTTCCTTGGTCCACAAGCTTAATTTGTTCTACAATTTTGGAAAAGATGGCCATGGTCTTATTTGTCATCCAATGCAGAGGTTGCAAATAAAAACAGAATTTTACCAGATGCTTCTGTTTACAAACCAAATTGTTTGCAAACAAAAGCAGATGTTCCCAAAGTACTGTAATAGTACTGTAGTGAATTTTATGTTGCAGCCAGCCTATAGTTACACTGCTTTGCCCAAATCGGCCTGGCCTGCCATTCCCAAAAGCCCTGGCTAGAACTCCAAGGAACTTTGGTACAGACAGACCAGTAAGGGGCTTCCTGCTGTATTTCCACCCACTTCTATTTCTTACCAGAGTTCAGTGATACTAATTATAATCTCCTAAGTTTTATCAGTATGTATAGAAAATTTTGTCAGTGAAAGGAAATGTTTGCTTTTCCAAGTCCTTGCACAAATGGAGAAAGAGTAACATAACTGCTAGAAGCTAGTCAGTGACTTTTTAACATATAGAATAACATTAAAAAATAAAAGTAAGGGCTGGAGAGAGAGCTCAGTGATCTAAGCACATGCCTGGCAAGTGCAGGGACCTGGGCTTGATCCCAGTACCAGATGATATGCTGACCACCAAAACCACACATGGTGACACATGGCTGTAATCCCAGCTCTAGGGAGACTGAGACTGGAGGATCACTATGAGTCTGAGCTGTGTAGTGAGACCCTGTACCAAATAAATAAAGGATTTTTAAAAATAATTTTGAAAATCCAAGCGTCAGTTTTCCCTCACATTGCAGTTTCTTCAGTGAGAGAATCTTAAGTCAGACGAGAATGAAGTAAAAACATTTAGAAGTTCATAAAATTATGGACATTTCAAAAAAAAAAAGATTTAACAGAATTGAAAGAAGCAAGGTCAGAGATACTCCAAAGAAGAGTAGGAATCCCATTAGTCTTTTTTTTTTTTTTTTTTTTAAGAACCAGGGATTGAACTCAGGCCATTGCGCATGCCAGGCAAGCACTTACTTTACTGAGCTATCTCCCCGACTGGAATCCCATTAGAAAATACTTGTTTTCATTCTATAGAAATGGTCCCTGAAAATATAGCCTTAGAAAACACTTATTTTCAGTCTTATAGAAAAGATAGAGAAATAAACAGTGACATAGAAATAAATATGAATTTTCTCTGGTAAATTTAGCAAAAACTGAATGTGTGAAAAAAGTACAAAGTAAAGAGCTCACTGCTTGAGCACTTGCCTAGCATGCTCAAGGTCCTGGGTTCTATCAGCATTACTGCCCCCGCCAAAAAAGTTTTAAAAAGAAAAGCAAGTTTCAAATGTCCATGAGAAATGGACATGCTTAATCTACAGAAATAAAATGGCTCTGTTGTTCACTACTGAAATGATATCTAAATGGACCATTCACATAGTTATAGTATCTTTTTTTTTAATATTATCTTTCATAGTAAAAGAATAATAAGAATTTGCATCTGAATTAGGTTTAGGTTAAATAGTTGAATTCTAGGAGTATAAAAAAAAATTTAAAAATCAAGGCTTGCCAGACTTGGTAGCGCATGCCTATAAGGTTACTCTGGAGCCCGAGGCTGGAAAAATCACAAATCTCAGCCCAGCCTGGACAACATAGCTTCTTTCTCTGTAGATATATGGGCCTCCATTCCTTACTGTAGCTTGTCTCAGGGGTGTTTCTTATGTTGATTTTCTTTGAAGTACTTTCTTCTTTTCCTTTTTTTTTTTGGTGGTACCAGGAATTAAACTCAGGACCTTGTGCTTGCCAGGCAAGCACTTACTCCACTGAGCTATCTCCCCCAGCCTCTGAAGTACTTTCTGAAAAAGGACAGACATGTGGCTCACTTTTAGGTATTTGTTTCATCTAACGGAGATGAAATTGCTTCAGATCTGTTTGAGTCCAGCCAAACACTCCTCAGCTGTTTGTAATCTAGTTTGCCAGTGTCTGAAACATAGGCTGGAGCAGGCAGACTTTTTCTATGAAGGGCTAAGTGGTAAATATTTTTAGCTTTTTTAAAAAAGCCAACTGTGTCACAGCTATTCTGAAAAACAGCTGACGAATTGGGTTTGCTCCAGGGTCAAAGCCTGCTCACCCCTTGTCTACTTTGTCCTTTCCTTCCAAACGCTACTTCATGTTCCTAGTCTCTGCAAATGCCTAGGACAGGAGAGCAGAACTCTCTGCCAGACCTTTCTGCAGTAATCTCTCATGTGTTTGTGTTGAGTCAATCCAAGGACACTTCAGAGAAAATGAAGATAACACGTGCATATGTAACGTTTTAAGTTTGCACATTTTTGTTATTCTTCCAACATTCTTTGAATGTCTTCCTGTTGAAAAGTTCCAACAAAACTGTAAAGTAAGACCAATCCACAAATCTTACCTTTATCTCTTAAAATTAACAGGTACTGTTGATTTAGCTTATTTTCGCTACTGTCACAAATTGGAAAGTAAATTGCTATATTGAGTGGAGCTTAATTTCCTGTCAGAAGAGGAACATGCAGACTGATGCAGTTTGAAACATTTTCTTCCCATGTGTGTGTCTGTGTTTGTGTCTGTCTGTGTCTACATGTGTGTGTCTGCGTGTGGGTGGGTGCGTGTGTCTGTCCTGGGGAGGCGTCTGTAAAGTCAGTTCTCCTCTCTCCTGTAGGGTGGATATGCAGCCTACAGATACGCACAGCCTGCTACAGCAACTGCAGCCACAGCTGCTGCAGCCGCCGCCGCCGCGTACAGCGACGGGTAGGTACGGGCGGAGGGGGGTACATGTCCTCTGTGGTGCACCTTCTCCTCCTCCCTCTCCTTTGCCAAGGCAGCCCTCAGGCCATACACTTCCTGCCAGCCTTCTCTTAGTGGCCTCTGTTGTGCCCAAGTACAGGCACTAGGTCTTCCTTATTCCCCCTGCCTTGGTCTTGTCTCTTCCTGGGCTTTGAGTAAAATCCCCTTCTCTTCACTTCTAACTCCCTTCTCTTGCATTTCATTGACGTACCCCAGAATTTTTCAGTTATTATATTGAAATAGAAAGCTTTTCTTCTGTTCTTCCAGTTTTCTTGATAAAATTCCAAGACCTGGTCACACAGCAGTTACTAGCACAGTTAACCCTTCCATTTGCTTAGGTTGCAGTCTTGCCTCTATCTCTCTGATTGTGCCCCTTTTTTCCAGTTATGGCAGGGTGTACACAGCTGACCCCTACCATGCCCTTGCCCCTGCCGCTAGCTATGGAGTTGGCGCTGTGGTAAGTATACATGTGCCTTTTTGCTTAAACCTTTTTACTCCTAACCTTTACCTACAGACTGTGAAAGATCTAGGAAGGGAATAGAGTGCCATTTGTGCATTGCCAACATGTTAAAACCAGACAGGTCTTCCTAAAGATAGGCACCCATCTTTATTGTTTGCTATAGTACTGGCCTGGCCATGTGGCTTGTAAGCGTAACAGAAAGAGAGGGGCAGTGACAGTCTGCCCCGAGTAATGACATCACTCAGGCAAGAAGTAAGAAACAGATTGATTTATATCAGTTCTGATTTTGGGTGCACACTAGTGGCATGGTATGATTGATAGGTATTGGAAGGTTCCTATCTTGGAGTATAACACTTCACAGTAAGCTTTGTAAAAACCGTACTGTATATAAGCATTAAATTTCTGATGCCAAAGTCCCGTGCTGTTCCCAAACCTGATAGACAGTAGCAGTGCCAGAGGAGTACTTCATGAAGATACTTCATCAGCAACAGTTGTGGCAAAGTATGGCATGTATATGGAAATGTACACGTCCACAGAACTTGTCTAACGTAGTCCACTCCCACAGAATGCTCGCCACTTATGCTCAGGTTTGCTTGGAGCCACACCTGCCGTGCCAGTGCCTGCTTACTCACTGGTACCAACAGAAGACACTCCACAGTGACACTCAACATGCCACGTACTCTCTCCAGTTCACAGTTATTCATATGGGGGACAGAATAAAGTATGCGAGTTGAGGCACAAAGGGTTGTGAGAGTGTCATTTCTGATTCTGAATTACTGTGATGCAGATTTGGGAAGTAGTAAGATTCTTAAGGACTGTATGTTAGATTGAGGTCAAGACAACAATAACAAGACAGTGATGGAGGTTCCTGAGGTCTTACTAAATGTCAAATTATAAAACTCATGTTCTAAAAAAAGACTCAAAGAGAGATACATCCCTGGGAAACTTCTTTTTAAAGAGGTAAGCCATCAGATAAAACCACTTAGTTAAAAAAAAAAAATCTAATTGGTATTGTCAGTCCTTTCTGTCCATGGGTTCCCCATCTCCAGATTCATCTCAAGTATCAGGAGATGTCTTTAAGAACGTGCAAAGATTTATCCTACTTTTCATTTCCTAAGCAATATAGTATATCTCTGATTTATATAGCATTTATAATATATTGGGTATTATAAGTAATCCACAGATAAATTAAACTTTATGACAGGATGTGCATTGGTTATATGCAAATACTAAATAACCCATTTAATATCAAGAACTAGAAGGTTTGGGTACCTGTAAGAAGTCCTAGGAAATTGAGACCCCACAGATACTGAGGAACAACTGTATTTTACAGCATCACTTTTATTAGTCTGAAAGGTTTACAAGGGCTTACCTGCAGCAGCATCTCAAATGCAGAAGAAGAGCCTTTGTTAGGTCATCTGTTAGGAGAAATCAACAGTCTGTTCTTAGGATTATAATGATATCCAGGTGAACAAAACATTTGTTTGAGAAAACTTCACTAAGTGCAGAATGATTTGAACTGTCTGAAGTTTCTGTCGCGTGCTGATCCATGTGAATCATGAAGTAACCACCCTCACACTGCCCCAGAGTCTGCCAGCTCAGCAGCGAGTGTGGCCCTGGTCTGCGCATCAGAGGGGAAGCTGGCTTACTAACTCCAGTACATCAGGCAGCCTCTGATCAGTTGCCATGAGGTAGCAAAGGAAGCTGTTTTCCTGAAGCCCTTCTCAGGACTTGTTTCTTCATTTTCAATGCTGTGCTCATCAACCTTTTAATTATTTTTATGTCTTTAATTACTGCAGGCGAGTTTATACCGAGGTGGCTACAGCCGATTTGCCCCCTACTGAAGTGACGTGAGACCCCTGCAAATGGGACAGCCCCCAGTCATGAGGCCTGGCTATTGCAATATTTACTAGTAGAGGAACTCTATAGCAAGATGAAGAGGAAAAACAAACAAACAAAAAAAAAAAAAAAAAAAGAGAGAGAATACTTTTTTATACCTCACTATGTTCTTTGAATATGTATTTTTCCTTTAAATTTTCTGCCTTTAATTCTTTTGTTCCAAAGATTGTGCATTTTCCTTTTTTTCTTTTTTTTTTAACTGTGGTAAAAAAAAAAAAAAAAAGATAATGCATTTCCATGTCCGTATGTCCGTGCTTAGCTTATTCTGTCAATCATGGAAGAGGCAGTTAATGAGGAAGGAAGGAGAGACATTAGTAGCTAATAAACGCATCTGATCAGAACTCAGTAGATAGAATCACCAAAGTGCATCTGGTGCTGAGTGGCTGGGGGACAAGTAGAGGTAGGAGAGATCTTTCTGCAATAGCATATTCTCTAGTCTTCTGAATTTCTGGTCTTTGGCAGGTAGTTCTGATTGGCTGTGGCTGGAATCCACATGCCAATAGATAGGAATTTGTGTTTGCTAAGCAGGAGAATGAAGAACAAACACTTGCCTCTCCTCTTCCCTCCTGTCTTCTCCATACTTTCTACAATCATCTTAATACATACAGCCTGAAACAGTTGGCATCACTTTTGGAATTACAGTATTGATATTTCCAAACATGTTTTCAGGCTGAATGACAAACACCTCATTAGGAAATCCATCTCAGTGAATTCTGGAGTATGAAAACACTTGTGTCTTTTCTTTCCTGTAACCTAGTATTCTACTGGGCTTCTGATCCCCTTTAATTGAATCACTGCTTAGCTCATATATTCTTTAATTAATATGTTGCTCCCATGTCCTCAAGATTCAGGAATTTAGGACCCAGCGACAGAAGAATGAATAGCCAGTGTCCAGATTTCCTTCAAGTATCTGGGGATAGCTTGAAGATTAAAAGTACAAAGTGTTTAGAGCCATTAGAAAGGCTGCAGAAGAGACAAGGAATACTGGAAAACCTGATATTCCTTATCTTGCATCAGAAAGCAGTACAAACTATTGAAAATCTAATAAAGAATCTGTTGGGGAAAGATAAGGCACCAAGCCCAGGGTCAGCTGTTGCTGGAAGTTGGGTGGCAAGGACATGTGAGGGCAGTCAGGGGGCACTTTGTACGTACTTGCTCCAAAGCCATAGGAATTTTTGTCTTCAGAGCCTCTGTGAGTCACATCCCTACCCAGTCTCCAGCCCTCACAGCCATTGCATCCAGCTTCTCATTATCCTCCAAAGACACCCAGCTGAGCACCTGGACATCCTGGTGGATGTTAACCCTGTAGGACATGAACTCCAAAGTCCACCGTGGGAGGAGGATGTGATGTGGCCAGGAGTTTCCTGCAGGGCCATGGCAGGAGCCATTGTTCTTACTGTCTGGCTTTGACTTTATCTTACCAAGGCCAGGGAGAAAGTAGTTCTCTTTGAACTCTTGGATGTAACTAATTTTTAAAAAACATCCTACCACATTTCCAAAAAGAAGGCATTTGGAAATAGACAAGCCTGGCCTGCTTGGCTCCCTGGTTGGTTCACATTGGTACAGGAGTGACCTTTACCCAGAGGATAGCTGCTAAATGGAGTGATTTGGAGACATGGAGATTCTGCTTTTTTATGGGTTTGGTTTGAGTTTGTTTTTTCACTCCTGCCTCCACAGGTGTTCTTGACTGAAAACATTCATGTCCCTGAGTTAAAATGGCTGATTATGTGTGGCAGCATCAAGCCTTCTTTGTAAGCACAGTGAAGTATCTGGCAGACCCTGGCCTGTGCTGTGTGGCACATGGCCACTCCCCTTCCTCTGTGTGGGTACCTGGGGAGGGTGTGCATGAAGTAAAGGGCAGTGTCAAGGGAGCTAGAGGTCTCGCTGCAGTCATTGATACTGGGGGATATAGTGAGCAGGGACAGCCTGCCCAGGCCTTTGGCTGTTTATCAAGTCTCTGCCCTCAAGCCAAAGTTTGGTCTGTTGCTGTTAAGACAGTTTTTGTTGTATGTATATAAATATTTTAGTTAGGAGAGGAGGGATAGGATGCGGAGCTTTCACAGTTCTAGGGAATGGGGGCAGAGAGGGATTTTTTTCTTTGTTTCTTTGCTTTTGTACTGAGGGAGAACTTTTACTAACTAAAGAAACAGAAATTTTGGTCATGTCTAATAAAGGCTTTTCTCACAAAACAAGCCACTCAACCCAGTGAACACTGGGCCAAATCCTAAATGGTTGCATCCATAGCAGGGGTGGAGAACAGGGGAATGAGCTTAAGAATGTTTTTCTTCTGTTTTCCTAGACAGAAGTGAGGGTAATGGGCAAGATAGAGAAGGCAGATTCCCGCAGTCCTTCCAGGCAGGCAAATGCTGGAGCTTGACGTTCCTTTTGTGCTCTTCAGTTCAGCTGGTTCTGGCTGAGGCCTCCAAAGCAAGCTCTGCTTTCCAGTAGGTTCCGCTGCATCTCGTAGTGCTTTTTAATGAATGCCACTTCCTCCAGCTCCCTTTTCTAGGAAGGATTAAATGGGATTCTACTTTTTATGAAAAACCCTTGGTTTTCAGGGTCAGTGTTGAGAACCGAGATTCTCTTGAGCATCTAGCGTTCATGATACCAACCTGCCCATCCTTTCTGAATTTTGAAATTCCATACAGTCAACATCATGAGAAGCGGGTTCCTCAGAGCAGCAGTGCTAGTTGATTCTGGTTCTTGCTGGGTTCAGAAACAGAGTCAGAGGAGTTTGGTATTTTGTGAGTTCATTCAAGGATGCTGATTAATACTTCTAAAACACTTAGTGATGCTGAATCTCAGTACATAAATGAGTTTGTTGGCTTTACTGTAGTTCATGACCTGGACTTTTTCTACTGAGCACCTTACTCTTAGAAGCTGGGCTCCTTTAAGGAGACCTCTAGTGTAAACCTTTATCTCAATACTCCTCTTTTAGCCCGGAGAGCTGCCCTTAGGTCTTCGCCAGAATTCCATGTGTCACTTAGTTTAACTCCCATGAACTCAAATCCACCATTGTGATTCACCATTTTTAAGGCTCTCAAGTTTAACAAAACCTATCACCATCATCCTCCAGCAGCCCCGGTCTGAAATGAGCCAATATATTTTCTTTCTTTAAAAAGGAAGCAGACTGGGACTCGGCTTTTAATTTGAAGAGAGCTCATGGCAATCTAGTCAGTAGAAATCAACAATAACAGCTTTGCCTCACATGTGGACTCCTCAGGGGCCGAACATGTCCTCATTAGGTTATTCTTTGCTAGAGATGGAGCAGATACGCTGGCTGTCCCCACTAACTTACCCTGCCCAGGTAGCTTCCAGACATGAGGGATGTCAGGCAGGAATGGAAGCAGCCCCGAGGATATGCGAACCCCCTTCCCTTTGACAGGAAAACAAGGTCACCAGGAGGTAGTCTGGAAAGCACGTAAGATGTTTTAAGGAAGAAGAGGGGACATGGTCTGCTGAACCTTCCCCTGTACCCCAGCACAGCCTGTTCTCTGCTACTTGCAACTTTCTAGCACAGTAACGTTTGCAGAATTGTGGATTTTTTTCCCCGCAGATATTAGGAGGAAAGGGATTTGGGGGTGGGGTGGGGAAGGGGTTGTGGTGTTTTAAAAGCATAAGTTACCTGTTTGCACTGTTTTAAGATAGGAAAAAATAGTGGGCAAGGTGAGCATCAAATGTAAGCTTGTGTGTTTTATTTTGTCACGCTCTTGAAAATGTCTGACATTTGTAGTATACACCAGTGACACTTGATTCTCTGTTGCATAAAACACTATATTTTTTTGGAAATGTTACTGTCCAAAAGCCTCTTCCCTCCCTTTCCTTTTCCTATGTACTTCATCCTTGCTTTACTGATCAGCCAGGCAATAGCCATGCATGAGCATGAAACAGGGCCCTTTGCAAAGCAGGCTCCGGGTGTCCTAAGCCAGTGTGTGTCTTCTGGGTTGCTGAGTATGGTAGAGTCCCTGGCATCTGTCTTCGAAAATGAGGCTCATAGACCAGCCTACAGCAAGCTGTCACATTCCTCAGTGAGACACGAGGAATGCAACGCCAAGGAATGGAGGGGTTCCTGAAGTATTGCAGTTGGCTGTAGTAGCCGAGTTCTTACCCACGTTACCGAAACTGTAGCCAGTTACAGTTTACTCAGGAAAACGGTAGCTCATTCAGCCATGGTAGTGCTGGTTGGCAGGGATTGGTAACTGAGAGAACTGCTCATCAGCCAAAACTCAAACCTTGCCTTTAAGAAGACCATCAGCATTGGGACTTGGTCCTCTTTGTCTGGTAGTCACGTTCGTGCCGGTGATGTGAAGGCTCCACTCACCTTGGCAAGAAAAAGGGAACAGTAATTCTCTTTTCTCTCCCACCCCTTCCCCTATTACCAACACTACATTTCCGGGGTGGGTATGTGAGTTTTTGAGATTCTTCAAGAAATTTTTTTGGTTTGGTTATTCTGGAGACTGCTAAGTGCTTTAAGCAACGTCTGCACCCCACCGAGACTCCCAGCTTAGTCATTCTTTTTTGTACTTAATGTTCACAGTATTTGTGTGTGTGTGTGTGTGTGTGTGTGTGTGTGTGTGTGTGCTTGTTTTGGCAGCTCATATTGGCTGATATATATATATATATCAAGTGATGAATTGATCTGCCCCCCCCCCCAAGGAACATGAGTTTTGGGGTTTTTCTTTTCCTGTTGTTATCATTCTGCTTATGAATAGCTGGAGCCACGCTGGGGCTGACATATGTAAGCTAGGGCTGCGAAGTAAGAAGCGAGCCAGTGGAGTTCACTTGTCCTCAACAGGCTGGCTGGCCTGTAACTCTGAACTTTTCGGTCCCAATCTTTGCAAGGCTCTAAACGCTGCACAAACTCTTCTCTCTGCCCCACCCCCATGGCAGGGATGGGCCAACCCAGCAGGCAACACGCAGTTTCTCTGGCCCCTCCCATTGCTGTGGCAACACAGGTACCTTCCGGGTACGGGGCATCCCATGGGATGCTTGTACAATTGACCCCCCAACCTTCTCCCTCCCCATCCTGTCCTCCCCAGAATCACTTCCTAGGACACCCGAGCTGCTTGCCCAGGGTCCTGTTTCCCTGCTAACTCCAGAGAAACATCCCAGGGCTTTGTGACAGTCTCTAATTCCTTTTCCTTCTCGTTAAGAATCATATTGTATAGTAGCTTTCAGACCATACAGTATTCATTGGGTTACTCCTATTATTATCAAGTAGCTGGAATTGTGAAGGTCGGAGTAGTTAGATCTTTAGCTTTTATTCCTTATTTTTTTTTTTGTATTACTCTCCATGTGTATAAATTATTGATCATGTTGCTGGCTTTTATAAACTCTAAGCAGAGGAGGAGCACTGCCTCAGCCTTTGCCAATGGTAATGAAGCACTGTTTTTAAATAAAAGAGAGAAACACCATTCTTTGGCCTGTGTGTATTGATCATTACTCCCTGTCACCTCCACCTGGAGCTCAAGAGTGCATCTTATATTTGACTTCTTAAAATAGGGGAAATGGAGGAAAACCCAAGAAGGACGTCGGGTACATGCTGTGCAGTAAGAGCTGGGTTCAGAAAACCCCTGTCACCCTCTAAACTCTGAACTCAGACCAGGGTCCATTGCCAACTGGATCTTCCAAGGAGCCTGCGCTGCCCCTTCCTTTGCCCTTGTCCCCAGACCTGGCACAACTAGACTTGATGTTTTCTGCTTCCTGTAGGCAATGCACCCTGCTAGCCCACTCTAACCTTGCTCTTTCAGCCCTCCCTTGCTTCGTTGGTCTCTCAGCCAGTAAGTCCCTGATGTCTGAAAGTTCTGTCACATACGTTCTCTCTACACTTCCAGCTCCCTTCACTGATCCCTTTGAGGTCATCGTGCTGCTACCTATTTCGTGGAGAAATGGGTGAGATCTCACCAAATGAATGAGGGCTAGCAAATCTGTAATGCTGATTTTGTCTCATGGGAGAACCCCATCCCTTTGTTCTGCCTTCCACCTTCCCCTGTCTCAGTCATGGTTCTTAGTTTCCCTTCCATGGTTAAACTTTTCATTTTTAAAATTCCTTGAGGCTTAAATCTTCCTTAAACTTTTTCCTAAAAATTTTATTTTTTCTTGCAAGATTGCAAGTTGTCTGCTCCCTGGCGCAATTGTACAGTAAGTATCCGCATGCTGACTCCAGCTACCTGACCTTGCCTTGCTTCATCCTGGCCTTTGCCTCCGGCACATGGAAGCAGCCCTTTATGACAGCTAGCAGGTCCTTCTCACTCTGCCTGCCTGGTGATGAATCATCACAGCCCCTGCACCTCTCGGACCTCAGGAGCCTGAGGTAGTGAGGACTGCACTGCGGCCATGCAGAATGCCTTGTCTCTCCCTCTCCTACCCTGGCTCCCTGCCACCTTTTCTCTTGAACCCCACCTCCTGTAAGGGATGCATTCCCTCAGAAGTGCAGGCCCGCTGTATGCACCGCGTGAATCCAGATCCAGGACATGTGGTGCATGTGGGACAATTCCATACTGCTGTCAGGTCACTTGCTGTGTTACGAGGAGTAAAGGTGTTTGTCTCTGGCCCAGGTTTGTGTTCCTCACCATCTGTTGGCACCCATGAAACAGAAAGAGGCTAATGTATTTGCGTGAAAGGAGGGAGAAAACAAGTCTTGGACCTGACTGTTAGTGCTGTATTAAAAGGATTTCACCCACAATTACAAAGCAGAAGGTGGCAGGACAGGACCCACCCCCAGGCAGTGTGCTGCCTAGCCTGTGCCCTTGGCCTCAGCAGTAGTTTTGCTGGTGCTGCTCTAAGTAGCTTCCCCTTCACAGATCCCAGAACTGACCCTGCTCTTCCACAAAGTCCTATTCTGCCCCCTTGCCCTCAAAGCTTGCTGTTCTCTGGGCTACAATTATACGTGTTCTCTAAATTCCATCACTGATCTTTAACATCAGCTTTTACCGTTAAAGCAGTAAGGTAGAAACAACAGTTCATCTCCCAGTTCTGGAAGCCAGGAGGTCTGAGATCAAGCCGCTCTCAGACTGGTGAGGGGAACCTGTTTTTCACAGCACCTGCTTTGTAATCCTCAGGTGGTGGAAGAGGCCAGCTAGCTCTCAGGAACCTCCTAGAAGTGCTCTAATCCCATTTCTAAGGGCCGCCCTCTTGTCTCTTAAGCCCCAGTTCATTCTGGGATGAGGATTTCAGCACACAGCTTTGGGGGGTGGGGAGGAACATTCACACTGCAGCAGTTCCATAGGCCAATAAATGAAAACAGTTGGTAATAAGCATTTTTTAATGTTAAAAGGAAAAATACTGTATCCTGCAAGAGGGGGCTATGCTCTATCTTCACCTTGGACCGGTGGCAATTCTGTTGCCTTGCTCCTTTCCCCAGGGCTGTGTGCTTTTTCAACCACAACTCCCATTCCCTGCTGCCCTCTGCATTCCTTGTCGCGCCAGCTAGGCCCAAGCTCCTCCTGCCCTGACAGCACGGCTCATTCTCACCTGTGCCTTCCACCTGGAGGTCCTGGCCCCACTCTGGTGTGTAGCCTTGAGTTAAATGCTTCTCAGGAAGCCTCCCGACCACGTAGGCTTCAAAGCCCTTCCCTACCTAGCGCACTCTCCCCAGCACCAGCTTAACTCCCTTCACAGCACGCACCACCCTAGACTGTGTGAAGTGACCGCAGGCTCTTGTCACTGCTTTGTCTCTTGGTCTCTTGTTCCATGAGATTCTAAAGGCAGGAAAGGGCCTGGGCAGTCTCATTCTATCAAATGGCAAACACCCTGGGCTCTGCTTCCTGTACCACCTCAAAGCCAATCCTCTACGATTTCACCTTGCTTCTCCTAGAAGTAATGTGACTGTTGTCCTCCTTGGAAGGCCATTTTCCAGATTCGTCCATGAGGCGCTCAAGTGCATTGCCCGTTCAGTGTCTGCATTCTTTGCCAGGCCCCTGGGCTGTGCTCCAGTCAGCCTGTACCCTTTCTGCACACCGCTGCTTGCGAGGTGCAGTTCCCGCATTGCCTCTTGGGCTGTCTCTGCCCATCAACCCTGTATTCCCCAGGCCAGGTGGTGGCTGCTCGGCCCCCCACACAGGAGAGAATCAGTGCTAGCCTCCATGGTGAACAGAAAGCCTCCTAACATAACCCATCTTTATCTAGCGCATACTGAGCTCTTTACCCATTGCATTTGATTGGCTTCAACCCCTTCCACTCACACTCACGTGATTGTACCTGTTTTGATGGGCTGTAACGGTGCTATTTTTCTTCAGTTGAAGCTCTGCCCAGGCCTACAGCATCCAGCTGGCAGTCACATGCATATTGATTGGCCACATGAAGCTGTATTATTAGTGCCTTTTGGAAACACCCTGCAGAAACTGTATTTTCTGTTAGGTAGTTGTGTACATGTCTTTCCCCACACACACACACACACACACACACACACACACCAGTCTGCGTGCTTCCAGAGGGCTAAGGACCAAGTTAATCATGTCCAGCTTCCTAATGCCTCTCAGAGGCATCTTGCGTCTCATCACATGCACCGTGCTGAAGAAAGATGGGCTCAAATGGCCAGGGCTATCACAGGAGCGGAGCGTGCTTCTCAGGCGGAGCACACATAAGCCCCAGATTCTACTTAGAACAGTTTTAAATTCTATTTAGACACCTTGAGACCAAGATCTGAAGAGTGACTCCTGGCCCCAGGCTTCCATTTCTGTGCCTGTCTCTCCACACTTCCAAGCTACTCCAGCACTTGTGAACACTGTCTGTTGGGTTGGAAAGCTCCAGGAAGCACCAGCCAGGCTTTGTTCCCGGTGGGCTGCTGCAAACT